ATGATCAATTTTTATGGCCATTTGTTCCTAGGATCCATAAGAGTGTCTGTTGTTAAATATACGAACAGCAAATTTTGAGTCCTTCTTGAGTCTAATACTTCACCTTCATGTATATTCCTTATATCTTAGTTTGATTCTTCTCCCAGTTTGACCTCTGTAGGCTTCCTAACACTCTGAATATTGTTAATGTAAATGCTCTTACTGTTGTATACGACTGAGATAACTGTTTTACTTCTGAGTATGTTTCTTACAATATTGTTGGTCTGAGAAGCTATTTGTATATTTATGTGTTTATAAACAGTTCTGTTATACATCTAATGTAACTACAACTATACATTTAACTCACCCATTTTTTCCATACGTTATTAACAATGCATATGGATCCCGTGGCAAATTTAAAGTTTACGCTGACTGCCATACTAGCATCACACATGCTATGATTATCAGTAATAATGATGACATTAAGTTCTTCACTATGCTACAGGCTGGAAGGTTGAGGGTTTGAGTCCCGATGAGGTCACTGAATTTTTCAATGGACCTAATCCTTCCAGCTGCACTTTAGCCCTGGGATCGACTCAGCCTGTAACTGAAATTAGTACTAGGAATCTTCCTGGGGCGGTTAAGGGCAGCTGGCACATAAGGCTGACAAGCTCACCACCCTCTATGGGCTGACTGTCTAGAAAATGTGGGAGTCTCAACCTCTCACAACCCTATGAGCCTTCACGGCCTGTTACAGGCATAGCTTTACATTTTTTTTACACTTACTGTCCAATATATGTTTAATTAGTTTGTTTTCTGTGGGTTGTAAAAATTTCTGATATTAGGCCTAAGAGAAGGATCCTATCACAATGCCTTTAAGTGGTTTGAAAAACTGATTATTTTATTGAAAGTAATTTTGCTGCAGCATTGTAGAGACTATCAGTCATTCCTTGAATGGTATTATGATGCAATTTGCTACCAATTATGAAGTTGTTTGTTAAATCAAAGAATTTATTAACTGGGATGTTTACATATAAATCTTTTATAAAAAGTATCATAAATTTATAGCCCGGTTTTAGTGAAACAATTAGCTCATTAGCAAATCCTATTGAGTATTTTGTGTTAAACTATTTTCTTATGATTATACATTTTATCAGTTCACTGAGTGTATATATTTGGCTGGTTTGTAAGTTTGGGTTGATGTTATTTATTACCAGTTGGATTGGTGTATCATTCTTGTGTAACTTAATTTGTGCTACCAACTGAGGTGTTTTTAAATTTATTTATCTTATGTATTTCTTCTTTTCTGGTTCCTTACATGAACACCGCTTTTTACTCACATCTGTACTAATTTCTGGAAGTTTCATGTCGAGTTTGATGGAAGTATTTTAATTGTATTTTCTTCTATAAAATTATGTACAATATTATTCAAACCATCACTGCTAATTATTACCACTGTGTTCCCTTTGTCAGCCTTGGTGACACACTGATTCAGACTTCTTTCTCAGACTAGCCATGATATTGTGACATGTTAATACACTGTAAGGCAGTGGCTTCATAAACACCCTGGGATATCCACATACAACATTAGGATGAATGTTTATAGCTTGTTGCTACGCAACAGTAAGCGTGCCAATAGACTTGTGAAATAGCTATCATGGATTTGCTTTATGTGTGGTCTGAACTATACAACAATAAAACTGCGTTTTCTGCATTGTCCATGCCACAGCTATATAACATGAGTCCACTTGCAGCTAAGGAGAGTCCAGGAGGGTTCAGCAGTCGAGAGTACAAGGACAAGAATGGAACATGTCCTTAGTGAATTGTGAAGATTAAACGAGTACAGATTAGGACAGAGGAGTACAGAGTGATTGAAGATGAAATAACAAGGCTTCATAGTGATCAGAAGCGCTAGTTTCTCTGTTGAGATCCACTGCCAGGAGATGTCTGGTGAAGATGGAGAATCCTAGTGTGTGTGCAACGCTGAACTGTGAAAGTATGTAAATCAACAGTAGCGCTGTGTAAGGTTTACTGGAGGTGGCTTCCTCATTAACTTCCGTATGATGTTAGTGGCCATAAAGCTAATGGCTTCATGTTGACTGAAATTTATCTGCTGCATTGCACTGTCAGTTTCTACAACAAACTTCTCCAAGTATCACTTGGTAAGTTGTTCATGCTTATATTTTAGGTCCAGTTCCATAATACTGTCTTCTTTGGGAGTAAGGACTCACTTAAAAGAAGAGGCTCAGTTTTCCATCTGCTTTCACGCTGGTTTCTTGCTTCATTTATTCTTGAAACCTGAAGATGGAGGTAATACCTTCTCCCAAAATGTCAGTTGCCTTTCGATGGACTACACAGCATTATATGACAGAAGTTGGTACTCTTTCTTCACAACCATCACTGGGAGAACCTCCAAGAAGAGACTGCATGCCACTGGAAAAATATTCTTCAGAGTCTGGTTGATTATATGAATTTTTATAAGAATGTTTCTGTTTATTGGATAAACTATTAATTTTATGAGAAAGGTTATTGTAAAGAATGCCACATTCCCTTTTTTGTCCATATGCTTTGCCAAGAGTCTGCATTCTCTGAGGGTGATCTATAAAGGTTTGTGTTTAATTTGTTTGTAGAATTACTTATACACACAGTCAGATAGTCCAGCTGCAACCACGCTGTGGGCAACATCATACACATACACTTCACAGCTCCAGCATCTACAGCCTCACACACATGTAAGGCCTTCCCCAAAGCCATGCCATAGCTCAGGCAGTTAATCGATGGCTTCACACTGCAGTGACGTGGGTTCAAGCCCAGGTCTGGTTATGTGGGATATTTAGTGGACAAAGTGGCGCTGGAGCAGCTTTTCTCCAGGTACTTCAGTTTCTCCTGCCAATCTTCATTCCACCAGTTGCTCCACAATCACCATCATCATCATCATCTATCATCTGGGGCTGGTACAAGAGGCCAGTAGTGACCACAGTACCTACTGGACTCAGTCTTGCCCCACTTCCCCTTAACTTCTACTGGGTAACGCTTTAAATGTCATATAGTAGTAAAATCTTTATAACAAAATCACCACCTAAATTAATTACTGTGGTTTCTTGAAAAAAAAAATTATCTTGTTTTAGTTTAAAGGTCAATGCCTCCTACTTTACATCTCTGAGTCTCTTCAATACATCAACAACCAGTTCTTTTATAAAAATCTTTGAATTGCATACAGAAATTTGGTATGTGTGGTTTGTAATTAAGGCTATATATATGACTGCTATGAGATTTTTAAAAATTTCAAAATATGTACATTCACAAAAAAAATAACCTACCTTAGGTTCTGTTGTAGGGCTAAGAATGAATCTTTGAGGATGATACTACAAGTGTCGACAGATTTTGGGACATTAGTTTCATCAAATTTCAGGAACTTGTGGTGTAACTGACTGTAGTATGATAATAAACCTTATGGGTTGCAATCATGCACGACTTGGCATAATTATCCAAAATGGCAATTCTGTGAATCTCTTTGAATGCCATGGATATGAGAAAATTGTCACTGCTGCGAACAGAACCCTGATCCCTAGTCATTCACCCATAGTCCAGTTGCTGTATTAAATCCGAATGAAAACATTCCATACGAGATTTGAGGCTCTCACAACACTGACTACCAAGAATGTCTTCTGGGATATGTCCAAACAGTACCAGCTCAGAGGTCCCAGAACACCGTCACGAATAAAACAAATCATTCGACTGTGTCCAGGACTAATAATGACATTACCACAGATATATACATAATTTAGAACTTAATAAACAATCAGTAGCAGTTTGATTTGTTTCATTCTGGTCTGTCACACTAACAATTACAAATATAAATCACTCTGGCCAATGTGACCTGTAAGTTTATTACTACATGAAAAACTAAACACCCTTACATGTTTCGGTCTCTGTGGACCATCTTCAGAGGGCAAACATCACTACAAATAGGAAACCACCTTCACATAAGTTGTTTAGACGTAAAGTACGTACACTTATATGTTACAATGCATAGTACACAAAATAGAACATTACACAAACATAGCAGTTTCCTGGGAATGTAAAGTTTTTAAAAATTATTTAAAATTTCTTGATACTAATTAAAAATTTTGCATTGTCAATAATTAAAATTCATAAACCATGCAGGCTCGTGTTCATCCTCCCATCGTCCCTCTTGTATGGGGCAGGTATTGTCTATCTTGATGTGGAGGTTCTTTATATCTTCCAGGGTTTGCTCGTGGCTGCTGTGCTGTTTTCACTGTTTCACTGACATGTAAGGGTGTTAAGTTTTTCATGTAGTAATAAACTTACAGGTCACATTGGACGGACTGATTTATACTTGTAATCAGTAGCAGGTTTCATCTTCTACATGTTGCCCAACAACATAATACAAATAGGTAACAACAACCAGTTTAAAAAGGAACTGATGAACTTAGTTATTAATAGATGCTATTATTCAGTTGAAGACTACCTCAATGAAGAACTCTGTAATACTGACTACTGATATGCAGATCTGTGGAATAAGTTACATTTCTAACAATTTTATGTTATCATTACTTTCAATACTTCTATTGTCATATATCTAATAAGTTAATATTTATTTAATTACTGTAACTTCTATAATGTATATCTAGCATGGGCATATCCTATATCGGTGTATTTTGATCTCTGGGATGAATAAAAGTGAATGAATAACTCTCCTCAGAACTACAATTTGAGTACTTTATCGTGACAGCTTTTGATCATACACTATTTCTTAAACCCATTTTTTTGTTTTCAAAGTTGTAAACACTTTCGTATTAATTTAGAGTTTGTGCAATGGCGTTCCACCATAAACTGCACTTATCAAACGATATACATTCATGTGCGCGGTCGGTCAACACACCATTAACCTTTCCCACCTCAGGCAAACTAATTGGTGACGAAACAATGCACTGCTGTCCATTTATCGTCAATACAACATAGTGGCCGACTACAAAAAGAGGGATCTTTTTTTTTACCTTTATCCTCTGCAGCACTTTCCTTTTTACCAGCATCCTGCGAAGTTTGTTCGTTCACAAGTTTGGTTAAAAATTCATTGGTTTCTCGCTGCATTGTTCTAAGTGTATTAATAGTAGATTTCAGGCTTCGATCCCCGAACGCTGTCGGAGCCGACTCGTGAAGTAATTCTCTATGACTGTCAAAAATTGCAACACTTGGACCCCTTTGGCAAACATTACTCCTTTCACTCATGGCAGCGAATTATGTGACAAATAGGACATAGATAAGAACGGATAAGAATTTGGCACTTCAATATTGGCAATCACTGCGAGATTGCGAATAGGGGTGGTGTATCTCCCAAAGGGGAGGGGGACACATGCAGACTAGCCATCTATGTTCAGCTACATGAACTAGATAGTCTGGTAATGACTGTAATCGGTCATATTACACCTACCGCAAACAATCGAATCGCATAAGTGTCAGCCAATCAGAGGATCTTAAATTTCGGTTGAAGGTTTTGGGCGGTTGTTTCAGTAATACCGCGTAGTTTCTGAAAATGTGTGTACGCCGTTGAGGTATGTTGTGCAACTAATTAGATTAATTAGTAAGTAGGGACTTTGATCTGATGTTGTGAAACGAGAGTCGACATTTACGCATGAATTTACATCTGTGTGTTACTTATGTATATGGATTATGTGTATTGTATTGTATTTTCATCCGTTTTGTTACATAGTAACATTTGGACACGTCATTCAGTAATATAAGTTAACAAAATAAATCTACATAGTTACAAGCATACTACGAACTATATTGATTGATTGATTTATCCAGGAGTACAACTTAACAAACAAACCTACAAAGTTACAAGGATACTAACAACATTTTACAATCCTAAGCAATATGTAGATACATTTGAAAAAGAAAAAACAAATACACAAATCATTGTATAAAACTTATTATTTGCTATGACATCCCAATATGAGTACTTTCACCATCCATCTTTTTATTTAAAACTAAGGAATTAATTTATCATGTAAAAGGAATGTTTCAATAAAAAGGATTTTAAGTCTCTTTTAAAAACTGAAAACCCACTGAGTTTTTTATTTTGTCAGGCAACTTACTATGCAATTCTATCCCCATATTTACCACACTCTTTTTAAATAATGTAGTTCTACAGAACTGAACATGAAAATCCTTGTTTATTCTTGTATTATAACTATGAATATTTATATTCTGGATCAAATCTGCTTTGTGCTTTTTTATGTAACACAACACCTCTAAGATATACAACGAAGTAACCGTAAGGATGCCATAATCTTTAAAAATTTGCCTGCATGAGTCTCGTTTACCAAGTCCACCAATTATTCGCAGCACCCTCTTCTGCATTCTAAATACCTTTATACTATCACCTTCACACCCCCAAAATATTATGCCATATCTCAATAATGATTGAAACTTTGCAAAATAAATGCTTCTTAACATATTTGGACTCAAAACTCCTCTTAGTGATTTAATTATGTAGGATGTTTTACTAAGTTTTGAACATAATGACTGGATGTGGGTACTCCATTTAAGGTTTTCTGTAATATCTATACCTAAAAATCTCAGTTCTGATGAATAAGCAATTTCCAAGTTGTTANGGTAATTTGTTTCAACAAATTGTACTCGGTGGGATAAGTAAGATTTAAACCGTAAATTAGTAACCCCCCCTGATCCCATAATAGTTTAATTTATCTAGTAGTATACTGTGGTTTATCACATCATATGCTTTTGTCAAGTCAAAAAATATTCCTACTACTGTACTATGCTCAGTGAAATTAGAAACAAACATGAAGTCAGTGTTACTACGATACTTCATCCAAATCGTATTTCTGTATTTTAAGCATCTTTCAGTGTAGCCTAAAGAAGGACCGTAGAATCTAAAAAAAGTGAGAGTGTACTTTGATTCTGTTATCATTTTTGTATTGTTTCTTGCAGTATAGATGGGAAGAAAAAAAATTGTTCTGCTGAAGCATGCACGTCTTCCAGTGAAGAAACTGGATTGAGATTCTTCAATTTTCCCATAGATTCAGCACGGTATGAGCCAGATCTGAAATATTATTATAAAACATACTGTAATATTTTGGCGAGTGTTATTAAAGGAGCTAAAAATCTTCATTATAATCAATTAATTTCTAATTCTAGTAACAAAATGAAAGCCACCTGGAGCATTATAAAATCAGACACAGGTAGAAAAATTAGTAATGCAGGTCAGTTTTCAAACATTGATGGGAAGTTAACTGATAATCATGATGTGATTAGAGATTCTTTAATAAATAATTTCGAACAATAGATGGACAACATCAATACCAATAATGAATTCTTCTTGGCCAGCTCTGATTTCCTTGAGCAGCATTTCCATCATCTGCTGCACCGTTATTTTGTAGCAGTAAAATACTCTATGCACACTAATTCAATTATTTGTCCAGGCGTGTTCAAGTTCGTAAAACAATTCTGACACCAGATTGTCGCGTGTTTTGAGTTCGAATCCTGTCGATCACGTTTGTAAGTCCATATCCCACTTCTGAAACACCAGTTGTCACGTGTTGGGTTTTTATACCGCGACAAATAACTTCACGCCTTTTTGGGTATAGCGAATTTTATTTCACATTCGCTCTTACAACCACACAAATTACAATCTCACAATTACTGCTATCTACAATATCACAAATGCTACACTGCAAATGCTGGTAACTCTTAACTGCTGCCTTGAGAACTAGCTCGTAGGCTTGCTCGGAACTAACTGCGAATAGCCTTCGTTGCTCCTTATGTAGCCTCGTTCCGGACAACAGAGAAAACGGCCACGTAATAGGCACCACTGTTATTACCGTCGTCTCTCGCAACCACTGAACACCCGCTTTGCCTAGCAACCGCTGTTTACTCGCGTTGCATAGCGACCAGTGTGCTGGGACTCGGCTCTCCTCGGCTCCGCTCGGCACGTCACGGCATCCACGGCGTCATCCATAGCGCAATGCGTCACACTATATTGCAGCTTCCAACATAGATTATGTAGAGTTTAACAGAAAAATATATGCAAGAGTTTATGACGTGAGAAATTTCGGGTCTGCGAGGACTGCAAGGCAGAGTGGTGTAGGATGTGTAGAACATTGGAAGACAAGACAGCTGAAGTGCATGGGAGTGGTTTTTAAAAATTCAGCCTGTGGTAGAGGAGTTTTAAGTTAATAAAATTAACATTTAGTCATTTGAACTTCGTATTTTACGGTATTTTTTATTACGCCTTGAAACTTCGTACACTGTTGTAGATGTGTGAACAAATTTTGTGTCCTGGTTGGTAGCATTGGTAGCACGGATTGGAGTGGATTTGTGGCAGGACCGGCAGGACCATATGCCAGTATGGTGCTCCTGGAAAATGAGGTTGTGAGTACGGGTAACATATTTACTTAGCAGTGTTACATTTTTCTACTCTGATTGGAGCGAGTACATATGTTCAGCGTTTATACAATTTATTTTTCTCTTCTCACAGTTTCTGAGTGAACTGACGCGAATGTTTCGGAGAGCAAGAAGCCATGGATCCGTTGTCTTGACTATGAAAAGATGTAAGTTTCCACAAGAAGGTTAAGAGCTGTTTGTGTATGGCTCAGAATACCGGAGCAATATTATTAATATAATGTATTTGCTCTATTAATTTATAGATGATGGCCGAACGAAACCCGCACCACGAGAAGGACGGAAGCCACTACCTGAGCCATCTGAGTACATGTGCTTAATAAGAGCTACATTAAGGACCCAGAAAATTAGCACTGTCGTAAGTTGTGCTGATAGAAGATTGTGTATATAGGAATCTACCATTTGCTGCTGATATCAATATTGCTATTACATCTTTTACTGAACAGAAGACAACTAGGTATTCTGATTGGGAAAAATTTAAAGTGTGGTGACTATGTACTTGAACCTCTTTAGTGTGTATCCACATTCTGTACTTATTGCCAGAAGTGCTGTCAAATCTGTTTTATTTGTGCATATTATACCCAGGACAAACATGTGAAATAATTGATCTGTTAGAGTGACACTTTTTTACTTCAGTAGTATACAAGGTGTTCCACAACATATTCGCCAGACTTCAGGACTGTATTCTACAGCTCATTTGGAGAAAAAGTGTTGAATTAATGACAGGATGATTTGACATTGTTATTGAGTTAAGTGCTAGTTTAATGTAGCACCGTGAAAAATGTCTTTTCAGCTCACATTTATTATCACTTTTAATTGCTTACAACAATTAAGTTTCCTTTAAGGTTATTACAGCACATTTGAGATGCCTACCATTAGACTGCATGCATGTTGCCAGTTGTGCAATTGAATGTTGCTGCTGCTTGTATCCCAGTTTGTTTTTTATATCAGTGGCAGGTTCAGCTATGGCATCTACTAACTAATGCCTTGATCCTAGTCTACAACTGTGATGCACTCTCGATTTCATGCCACTCTACACAAATAAATTTAACGAGTTTAAGTTATGGGACCCAAGTGGACCAAGCCACTGGTCCAACTCTTCCTATCCAGCTTCCTCCAGAATCTTTGTTGAAAAAATTCTGTTACCGCACTGCCAAAGTGCATAGGTATTCTATCACAAAGCCACATTCATTTCTGTGTTGCAAGAGGCACATTCTATACATGCAGCAGTAATTCATTTTCCAGAAAATTTATGTAATATGAAGCTAAACTTCCTTCAGTGATATGTGGTCCAGTGAGGTTATTATCAAATACTTCACACCACATATTAATTGAATATCAGTACATGAAGAAGACATTCTGCTACCTTATATGCCCAAGAGAGTGAATTCCTTGTGTTGGTAATATCATTATGGTTAAATTCAACCTCATCTGTGAGCAGAATGTGTAACTGTGATTGCAGCCACTCACAGAATAATACACAGTTGGCATGATCTCATGGTAAGGGGTACTGTACACTTTGGAGGTAATATGGATAGAAATCATCATGGTGTGCTACACCAGTCCTTGAAATTCTACATATACTTCTACTTGAATTTCTCTGCACTCCTGCCAAAGCATCATCTTCACACCATTCATATTCTACATTCATTTGTGGGAAGGAACCAGTCTTCCTCAGACTTGTGTACTTTCTCCTATGTTTTGCAATTTGGAATCCCACAAAGTGGATATCATTGCCAGTATTCCAACACAGCAGCTCCATTTCCATTGCAGAAATCCTTATACAAAATGCATGTCAGCATATTCTGAATTTGTTAAACATGGGCATTTTGACTTAACTGCACTGCAACACAATGCAGCCACACTAGGCTAAAGAATGTACAAGCAAGAACACAGTCAAGTTACAGCAGCTCCAGCTTACTCAGCACTTAAAATTGATAATGGTGTCAGATTGACCCACAGTTTTGACATTTTTTGCTCTACATGTCCTGTAGAACTCACTCCTGAAGTTTGGTCAATACGCTGTGGTACACCCAGGATCTTGAAACTTCTGGTGGTAAATGCAAACACAAGAGACATTAGTAAGTGGTCAACATACTGTAAAATTGTGCCATGGAACATAAAAACAAGATGGTATCTCATAGTAAAGTAAAAAAAAGAAAAGTAAAAGTATCCCTGTAACAGGCCGTGGAGGTCCATATGGTTGTGAGATGTTGAGGTTCCCACATTTTCTAGACAATTGGCTCATAGATTGCGGCAAGGTTGTCAGCCCTACGCACCGGCTGCCCTGTACCCCCAAGAATATTCCTGGTACTCATTTCTGTTAAGAGGCTGAGTTGACCCCAGGGCCATACTGTGGCTGAAAGGATTAGGTCAGTGGAAAAAAGTCCAGTGACCTCATCGGGACTTGAACCCACAATCTTCTGGCTTGTATCATAGTGCCTCAACCAACTGTGCTACCTACCGCATGCTCCGGTGTCTCAGTAGCATTATGAACATTCTGTAAAACTAAGGAGAGGGAGTGATATTGTGGCATATAAACCCATTTCTAGGCAGCAGCCATGAAACAAACAACGAAGCAACATTTACTGCTAGGCAATATAGTTTAATGAGAACAGACAGCCACTGCTAGGGAATGGCTTGGTAAACATTCCTGTTGCAATGGATATGCATGCAACCATAAAGGAATTGTTGAAAAAGTTGTTTTCTATGTGGTTCAGTGTCATAATTGCATCATAGACAGGAAATATTGAAGCATACATTTCTGTGTTAGAAGGAAAGAGACCACTGGGAAGACCAAGATGTAGGTGGGTGGATACTATTAAAATGTAGTTCGCTTGCAGACTAAAGCCACGGAGTTTATCTTAGAGAGATAGGATGGATTGGATTGATCTGGCTCAGTATAGGGACCAGTGGAGGGCTGTTGTGAACACGGTCATGAACCTTCAGGCCCCATAAATTGCTAGGAAATTCTTGAGTAGCTGCAGAATTGGTGGCTACTCAAGAAGGGCTCACCTCCATGAGTAAGCAAGTGTCTGTGTTAATTGTTTTGTGTAGTATTAATTACTGATTTCATATAATGCAAAATGAGAAGTTCTGAGATGATTAAGAATAGTTATAAGAATGTAAAGGAGGTCATAGTCAATTTCAGTGCATTATTTCTGTTTGCATGAAGTCATTGAAGAAAATAAGAAAATACCGTATGATATAAAGCTTATTGTTGTCTGGCATGTGACACCGTGTAGTCTGGTGAAAGATGTCATGTGTATGAGTCACTGTAAGCCCCCATCATAGTACAAGTGCATGTAGAAAGATTCATTCTTCACATTCTAGATCATGTCTATATACATCATTATGTCCTTGAACTTTGTGTTGTGTACCAGTGTTTGGTTGCACCAGAATTTACAGTATTGTTTTTTCCCTTCTTTTTCAGGTACACCCAAAAGATGTAAACAAATTTCAGCAGGCATACTGCAATTTGCTCAAAGGAAATTTGGATGGTTTGAAGAAACTGAAGAAAACAAAAACAAAAGCAAAAGCAACTCAGTGATTTGTTCTGTAAATTAATGGTTTGTTTGCTTCTTTCTCCAATTACTGCACATTATTTTTTCTATTTGCTTTATTCACTTTCCCATTGGTGAGACTGAAACCTGTTCTGATAGTGATTCTTAAGGAATCAAATGTCACGTGTTGTCATTTTATACAGTGTGTTTCTGTATAGGAAAGATGTATTTATTCGTCACTGTATGGACTTCATTACATGACTAAGAGATGTTGACATAATATACTGAATATATTGATGTTTAATATGAGTACATTTAGTTCAGACATACAAATTTTATTCTATTTTTATATTGCAGATTAGATCTTGTGTATTATGATCTGTAAAGAATACTAATACAGTGAACCTTTGGTTTTGTTAACCTGGATTCTAAGTTTTCGTGAATTTGCTCACTTTATGTATCATCCCAGCCAAATGCCCATAACAGCAATGTTAAACTTTAACCAATCTTACATTTCTGTTACTTACATATTCCATGAATTTTCACTTCCTTTATCTAGTCCTGACAGCAGAAATTCACCCCATTTTACATTTTATAGCTAAGTTCTCAGAATTTCTAGTCCAAGCAAGTTAGCAGTCACAAATTGTTCGGTCTAAAAATACTGTCTGTTGACTGATCAATGGCTGCAAGTGATCTGCACATGTGCCATGTGACCATTAAGGCCAAACACATCTAAGGGGATTTTCTGCTGCTGCGATCCAAACAGCATATGCACCCTAGGCCAGCTCTGATCCTGATACAGCTTAGTATAACAGCTTCTTTTCCGTGTTTCACTTGTGTGCCAAATAACCATTTCAACACAGCAACCAAGCTGTTTTCATACTTGAAATGTTGAACAGAACATACACCCAGGTTAAATTCTCTGATTTTCCTATGCCCCTGTGACTTCATTTCATAAATAACAAATTTTATTGTGGACTAAGATGAATTTGACAGAAGGAGGGTGCTGTATGGATAATAAAGGAAAGTGGAAGTCATACAATATGTGATAAAATAAATATTTTAGTGCAAGTTGATGCACATACTGGAGCGTGCTGAACTGGCATGACAGTTGAGATTTTCATTGTTCACACTAACCACTAATGTGAAAAACAATGAAGAAATTACATTCAGTGTGGGGCTTTCTCCAAGCAGCGGAAATCGTTGTGATGCCCGTCACTGGAGGAACTGGAACCTGCACTTGTTGCATAGTTCAAGCATGCACATCAGAATAATGATGGATTACTGTGCTCCTGACATGCAGTGCAGATAGTGGTGATAAAATACCACTTCTTGTAATTGGAAAATACACGTATAAAACTCACATTGCTTCAAGAATGTCAGGACTACCTACAAAATATGAAGCTAATAGAAATTATTTTGTTCACCAAAATATTTGAAGATAACCTCACACAACTAAATTGCAAAATTTTATATTTCATTGATTAGTACGCTGCTCATCCAAAGAATAAAAACATTGTTCAGCAATGTCAGAGTTGTATTTATAATTCTGCGGTCTAGCTATAGCCGTTAGGTTTGGTAATTATCCATGCATTCAAATACCATTACAGAAAGCAGTTGATTCAGAAGACTAGCTATGATATATAGGGAACTGCTCCAAGATGCTACACAGATGAAGCAGGATGTGTTTGCCTGCAGTTCATTTTATAGCAGAAGGCTGGAGATTGGTAACACCCACTGCAATCAACAACTGCTTCATGAAGTGTGGTTTCTTGATCATATTGGTAGCAATGACAGTACAGTGAAACTGACTAAAGATGAAAAGAATGACTAGCACAGTTTGTAACCTACTGTAGTTTGTATCTCATACAAGACAAAAAACAATATAAAACATCTGTTGAAAATAAATGACAAAAATGTTTTATATAATCTTAGTGGGGTTTACCAACTACAATGTGCTGACTGTCCATTAATATATATATAGGACAGACCGGACATACCTTTAAAGTCAGATTCAAAGAACACATTTTTTTTCCCCTTGGCACTACAGCCCCAGTGGGCCTAGGCCTACCTCCATGAACTCCGTTCACTTCGGTTTTTCTAGATCTTACATACGGTAGGACTCCTTGAGCGAGTGATCAGCTCGTCGCAAGGCCTCTACCTGTAGACAAACACAGAAAAACGCACACAAACATCCATGCCCTGAGTGGGATTCAAACCCACGATCCCGGTTTCCGAGCGAAGACAGTGCATGCCTTAGACCGCTCAGGTACCGTGACCGGCTCAAAGAACATATGAGACATAAAAAGTAACGGACAAAGCTCCAGATTTGCTCAACATATATTAGACGCCACACGTGAATATAGTATGATAGACAAAACATTAGAAGTTCAATATATCGGCAAGAAAGGCTGAACCATGGATACATATGAAAGATTTCACATCTATGAAAGCAGCAAACTAAATTTACAACTAAATGATAATTTTACTGAAATGTTTAACCCTATATATGATGTAATAATTGATACATACAAAACATAATATACAGTTATACCCCCTCCCCCCTTCCACCACTTCCGTATACACCTTATCTCTACCTCACATTGACCTTAATGTTACATCACTAAATCAGTTGTTGTTTACATTCCTTACAGTATGGTCAATACTTTGTGAGATGAGGCACTGACTATGTAAGCAATATACTCTATATGCTCTATATCTTCAATACCAATATCAGTTGTTGATCATAAAATTTAATAATATTACTTTCATATCATTTTCAGATTATAATTTACTTTACTACATCTACATTATGAGCCTCATACACAATTTTATATACGCATAAGTATGAATATTCCAACTTGTCCGTGGGAACGAAACAAAAAACAAATCACAAACCAATGACTGACACGTTGATGTAAAAACACAAAAAGAATTTTATTCTTATTTTATATCATACTTCTGTTTTATATAACTTGATTTATTGTATTTTTTACGTCAAGTGCTTTTATATATTTTAACAATATTGTGTCCAATCTTATTGGTGCTGCAGTTCAGTGGTGTGTATATGTGTGTAAATCATGTGTTTGCCCGATGATGGCTATCAATAGCTGAAACATGTAGCAGGGGTCATAAATGGTCTGCTCTTTATATTAGTTGTGTTGTGATGGATATAATAAAGAGGTTGCTCGTGTAGTACTGTCTGAGGTGTACTTGTAACTAAATTGTAATTCAAGCAACAGGGAGGTTCTTACCTTTGTTGAGTGGTTCACAGCAACCAGTGCACCGCCAGCTTCAAGGCATGTAGGAATTTTGTTGATGAATGAATATGCCTGTTGACCATAATGTTCAGAATGAAGTGATTACAATTCAGAAACCATACGAGGTGTTGAAAATGCTGTCCCTGTACATGTAGACATTCCTCACACCAGTAAAAGCTGTTCTGCAGGAATATTTGCAATTTCCCTACGAATATTTTCTTTTAGGTCTCCTTCTGTTTAGGGTTTACTGTTGTAAACTGCGTCCTCCAACCAACCCAGAATAAGAAATCACAAGGAGTCAGATTGGGTGAATGTGCTGGCCAAATACCACTGCTGATAATTATGTCCCCGAAGACATCAGACAAAGCCTTCATAGATATATGTGCAGTGTGGGCAGTAGCTGAGTCTTGCTGAAACCAGTCATAGTCTTTTTTTCTTCTGTTAACTCTGAAAAGAACTGCCACAGAATGTCCTGTACATGTCTTTTGCAATTAATTGTTTTGTTAAAAAACACAGGTCCAACAATCCTTGCACTTACGGCACACCAAACACCAACTTCCACTGGATGGAGTGGGACCTCATTGATTAGGTGTGAATTCTGCAAACTCCAGTAGTGATTACTTTGCACATTTATTTCCCTGCATGTGAAGCTATGCTTCATCAGAAAAGAATGTCAATTGCAGATCGATCTCACTATCGACAACACACTGTAAAAACCAACTGCAAAAATGAACCCTGCTACCTGGATCATGCATCTGCAAGGCATTGATTACTTACTTACTCATGGAGCTGAGCCTTTCTGGAGGAGCCGCCAATTCAGCAGCTACTCAAGAATTTCCCAGCATTTTATGGAACCCGAAGGTTCATTACCGTGTTCACAAGAGCCCTCCACTGGTCCCTATTCTGAGCCAGATTAATCCAATCCATACCATCCCATCCTATCTCTCTAAGATCCATTTTAATATTGTCCACCCACCTATGCCTTGGTCTTCCCAGTGGTCTCTTTCCTTCTGGCTTTCCCACCAATATTCTATACGCATTCATCGTTTCCCCCATTCATGCTACATGCCCTGCCCACCCAATACTCCTTGACTTGCTCATTTTAATTACACTTGGAGAAGAGTACAAGTTATGAAGCTCCTCATTATGCAGTTTTCTCTAACCTCCTGTCACTTCAGCTCTCTTTGGCCAAAATATTCTCCTCAACACCCTGTTCTCAAACACCCTCAGTCTATGTTCTTCCCTTAATGTCAGAGACCAGGTTTCACACCCATACAGAACCACAGGCAAGATTATAGTTTTGTATATCCTAGTTGTTATGTTTTTGGACAGCAGACAAGAAGACAAAAGGTTCTGGACTGAATGGTAGCAAGCATTACCAGAGTTCAGTCTCCTCTTAATTTCCTCCTGAATCAGGTTTTGATCTGTTATTGCTGTTCCCAAATGTCTGAACTGTGACACATTTTGAAAACATCTGTTTCCTACCTTATGCCATGATTTTGCTCTGCATTTTGGTGATGAGACAGCAACGTATACTTAGTTTTCTCAGTGTTTACTTCTAGACCAACCTCTTTACTTGCATCAATTAAAGTTTGTGTGTTTTTCTTTATGGTATCTACATTATCACCCAGTAGATTCACATC